GAGACGGGAGGTGCAGCAGGTGACAGAATTGCCGTGCACTACTCTAAGAATCCACTCACTTAAAAAAAAATGCCCCTTTATCCTTTGGCGTCTGCTGTTGCCAGGCCAGGCAAGAGGGGGTTTGAGAGTGTTGTTTGGGAAAGGGAATTTCCTTACAGTGGGTCCCCCAGGGAGCTTTGACAGCAGAAACCCCTAGCCTGCTGGACACCTACAGCTAGAGAGGATCCTTCCTTGTGTGTATGTCGCAGCAGTCATACCATATCTACTGTTTTTTCTGTATCAGGCATCTTGCTTTTCCTTTGTGTACTGTATCTAAATGGTAAAATGCAAACAAATTGTGTTTGTAGGGCTTAAATACGGAGAGGAAGGCAAATGCTGCTGGGCCTTGCCCCCTTTCAAACTTGACTAGTTTTAGGTATTTTTATGGGTCCCCGTTTGCCTTTGCATACACGAATAGCAGTAGTGGCCAGGAGGGATGGTTGCCATGCTTTGGGATTCAGGAGATTTATTCTACAGGTCCACATTGGGTTGCTTGGCTCCATCCCTTGGGAATACTGGCCTGGCCTCCCTTTTCAGGGCAGCATGTCAGCTTTGCATCCTACCGCATCTGGTATCCAAAGCAAAGGGATTTCCGGTGGGATCACCAGCAAGAAATAAATACCTTTATTTCAGGCTTTCAGAGCAGTTCAGTTAAGCATGGAACTGGCTGCCCTCTCTGCTGTCAGAGGCCCATTTGAGACAATGGATATTTGAGGACAGGTTCTGGTTTCAGTGAGAGAATCAGAAAACTGGCACCTTCGCCCACTGCAGAAATGGTCTTCTGGGGATTACTTTTAATGTAATGACCTTGGCATGAGACATGAAATGCCTGGCAAAAAAACAGACTACATGGGCTGTAAACTGCCATTTGTGGACCCTGTCCATTATATTGTTCAACGTTTTTAGGTAATAACCCATCTGAAAAACTCTTTAAATGTTAGTGCCAGGAAGAAGGTTTATCTCTGAGTTAGGAAGGTTACTGGGATGGCTTTTTTGTTTGTTTTTTTTTGCTACCACTGTCTGGAAGCTCAGACTACTGGCTTATGGTAGCCGTATTAGCCTAGGTTTTTGCTAGATTTATTTACCCCTTCTCTATATGAATTTTGATCTCTTTTCTCTTCTAATGGCTTTATGTTTGAGGTCCCTCAGATACCTTTTCAAAGTAGGCACTCTAAGAGAATTAGTGACATTGTATTGGAGACCTAGGGGAGATGTATTTGTGCCATAGGTAAAATAGGTTTTCTTGACAGCCCACAAATATTTAGGATTTGTATTAAATTACACAAATATTTAAATATGTTACATGTAGCATCAGAGTACAGTAAGTCAATCTTGCAACTGGTAAAATCATGCTTAATTTAGAAAATAATAAATGTTTTGCCTTTTAATGCTGTTTTCCATGTCAATTTAAAACATCTCTAATAAATATATGGTAATTCAGGAGCTTGTCTGGCCCTTTTGCCAGTGGTCCTAAAAACATAGCTTTCATGTAGAAAATACACCACCGCCTTTCCTGTGATCCTGCTCCAGATGAAAATGTATGTTAAGCTTTACAATTCTATGGATTTTTAAAAATAAAAATTAAAAAGTAAAGAACATCAGCAAACTTGAAAGTGTTCTTTTGCACAAAGAAGTGGATGATTTTTTTTTAATTCTGTATATTTTTTCAGCATCTTTAAAGCATCTGTTTATGACTTGATGGTTGGAAATTCACAGACGAAATGAAGAAATCCTTAAGTGAGCTATAAACTCAGAAGACAAGGGGCTGTCATTCAGCTTTATAACGTGTTCTCGTGAACTCCTCTGCAACACACATTTTGCTGAGAATGGATTTGTAGTGTCACCTTGAGTCATATTTTTTCTGATATTGAGAGGTAGCCCATTTTTAAAAAAGGCTTTTGGTTTGTTTTGTTTTTTTGTTTTTGCCAAAACCTTTCAAAGAAATTAGACATCAGAACTCTTACATCTAAATACAGGAGTTTATTCCTGAAAGATAAGAAATACTCTTCCATGAAACCACAATACTATCATCACATTGTGCAAAATTAAGAATAATTCCCTGATGTCTAAAACTGGTTATTTCAGCCAGGAGCCAAATATCCTGGGTGAATACATTGAGCATATATTTAAAGCTCAAGGTTTAGTCATTTGCTCACTTTCTGATCTAAGGCAAGTTACTTGTGTACTCAGAAAAACTCAAGTTTTATCTGAGTGAATAAAATAGGCAAAAATTTCATGGAGTTGCTATGAGAATTAAATGAGATAGTACATGTAAAACAGTCCAGCACCAAGCAGAAAACAGGTGTGTAGTGTTGTTCTTTGCAGGGCATTGAGATTGCTTTCTCATAGCTTTTTGATTTTCAAATAACCCCACAAAGAAGTGTTACCCCTTTTAACTGATAAGGAAGCCTAAGTAAAGTTATTTTCCAAAGCAACAAACATATTCTGTACTAGTTTTTTTTCTTTGGTCTTTTCAATAATCCTATCCGTTAGATGGTATTGTCTCCCCAACTTACAGATGGGGAAAGTGAGGCCCAGAGGGGTTGAGTAAATTGCCCACAGTCATCAGTAGCTGAAGGTGCTAGGATTTGAGCACCCCAGCTGCCTGGTTTAGGAAGGAACAGTGTTTTCAACTGTTCTGTTGTGTCTCTGATGGGGAGCAGGAGAGAGGTGGCCAGCCTTAGTCATTCTGACTTCAGAGCTCACAGTGTTTCTGCCACTCATTCTGTCCCTAATTCTTCTGAACTGGTGACAATCTATCATTGCTGTAGTTTTTTCCACTTCCCTTATCTTCCCTGAAACTGCTATGAAGCACATACTGAATTACAGTGAATTAAAATAAACCTGGGCTTGAGAATTCTGTGATACACCTTAAGATAATAGAAGTGTGAATTCAGCATTGGTTATTACTGGAGTGTTAGCTCTACATTCAGTGAAATAACAGCTGTGGAAATTAGACCCATGCAACAAGTATTGATTCATATTCTTTGCATTCATGTTCAAAAGGGGATGTATTTCTCTTGTATGTGAATAGAATCCTTAAGTGTTAAAAACATGAAGTTGACTAAGCAGAATTGGGATCTTGGTCCATTCATCAGAAAATCTTGAAAGCAAACAAAGCACTTGGAAAGACCTTAACAAGCTTGTAAGCTGGGCATCTTGGTTGTATGAAGTCACTGTCCTTGGCATAAAGTAGTAAAGTTAAGTGCTTCTTTCAGGGCCTGAGTTCTAGTTGTTGATGGCACCTGGCCTAACCCTGTATCTGCTGGGTTTGTTTCCACAGGGATATTAGCAAGTGCTACCTCCTTTCTGTATAACTGATGCCCTCTGCTTCCCACTTTCTTTAACCAATGAAATACATAAAACATGAATCAGTACAAACGAGAGCTATTCTAAACTATCTAAAATTACTTTAAAGGAAACTTGTCTGCTTGCTTTCCTCTTTATTCTGAAAGTCTTTTCTTCCTTTCTCCAGCAAGTGAAAATTTGCTCATTCCGCTGAGCCTTTTCTGAGGTCCAACTAGGTTCCCCCCCAACACACACACTCTCCAAGTCAAAATCGAGGACCCCACACTGTGTGGCAGTTACCACCATTTAGAATTGGGGTTATGCCCAGCTAGAGACCCAGAATATGAACTTTTTGGATTCAAGATTACCTCTCAATTGTTCAGTTTTCTAGTTCTTGGCCCAATTTCTAGTTGTGTGACCTTTGGCCACATTGTGGTTGTTTCATAAATGTCTATTGAATTAAAAAATGGATTCAATTAATTTAAATTGTTTCATCACTGCCAACTAATGCAGTATTTATAATTATTGTATTTGGGAGGGTGTGTATAGTCTCCTTCTGAGAAGTTTCATGTGCACATAATCCCTTTGTGTGTTTTGTGGAAATTGGGTGCAGAATTATCTGGTGGTGGTGATCTGGGACTGACAACTCAAAACTATTTTGATTCCAGTCACTCTTGGGAACTGGGAAGCAGATCTTGAGTGCCATAAGCCAAGGCCTGTGCTTCTTCCTCTGCAGGAGAATTTCTGCAGAAATCACAGTATTAACAGTTTGCAGTAGCTGCAGGGTTCTGATGAAGTCTTAACACTTGAAGTTGGAGACAGCTGTGCTGATGAACTCCAATACTGGCATAGTTCCTGTGTTACTGGCCAAACACAGATACACGGTCTAACAGCAAAATCCTCAGAAACTGAGCAAGATGATAATAGAGGCAGAGCAGGAAGTTTTGGTGTATATGGTTGTTTGTTTTGGTTTGTATTTTCTTAAGGAAATTGGGCTTTTTTTTAAAAAAGACCCAGTCATATTGACAAACTTCATAACTAGTCTTATCAGTGTTTCCTTTTTAATCAATATGTAAGGCTAGAATGTTGATGATTTTAAAAGGCATTTTCTAGTGCTGTTAGTTGCTGGAATAGAAGGAATATTTTGCACTGGTGCACTCAGTACTCTGTGGAGCAAAACGCATTTTCTGTAATGCTTGCCAGGTAGGCATAAAGGATTGTTACCACACATGTGTTTCATGTCATAGAAAGGAAGTCAGGCCGGGATCTTAGTAAAATAGTTGATGTTAACTGGCACAAGAGATGGCTGAAGTATGGAACAATTGTTTTATAATTGCTCATTTCTCAGGTAATTTGTCAACAGTATGTTTGAATGTGGCATATTGTGCACATGATAGTGTACTTAACCTTTTTTACACTACTCTCAAAGGGTAGCTGAATATTTATTTAAAAACAAAATTTTTATGTTTACTTGCACGTAGCACGCAGAGGTAAAGAAATGGCTTTTGACTTCACCCTAGCAATTAGCACTTGTGAGTAAAGATAATTAGAACAATGCAAGGCAGCTTCTAAAACATATGGCTTTGGCTCCTCTATGTACTAAAATAATGATTTTTCAAATCTTTTTTTTTTTTTCATTCTTAGATATATTCCCTGTAGTCCATTTGTAAATGCTTAAAGATTAATTATCAGCGTAAGTTTTTTGATTCTCTTTCCTAGTTCATCTCGTAATGACATCATTGTCTTTTCATGTTCATTATTTATTCCTTGTGTTTCTTCTTCTCACTGCATTGCCTTGGCTCTTGCCTCCACTATTGATTTTTCAGATAAGCGCTGTTTATTTTGTGTTTGCATCCCACCCTGCGAATGCACAGAGAAGCTTGGCCTATCTGCCCTTTTCGGTGTGGGAAGGATAGCTTATTAACCCCTCTACGCATAGCTTGGCAGAGTGCTGAGTCCATGGTAGGCTTTCTACCAATGTGCATTGATTAGTTTAAGTAAATATCAATTGAAAAATAATTTTACCGTATATGAACATTTAAGCGATTGTTCATGTTGTACCTACATTCAAAAGGATATTGAGGTTGCTTTTAAGAAAACTACCAAGAGGGGCAGGCTGCATAATAGTAGTGCAGGTCACATTCTGCTTCCGCCCTCTACTGGATAAGGGACCCTGGCACGTGTGCTATGCCATGAGCCCTGGATTAATATGAACTAAGTTCATTCTGCTACTATGTATGTCATAGGACATTAAAAAGTAGAAGTGGGATAGGGAAGGCAAAGGGTTCCAGCACAGCACCTGATAAAGGGGGAATTCAGTAGAACTCATCCACCTCTGGTAGGTCTCACGTCATAGAACAAGGTATCATTTGTTTTCAGAGTTTACAAGGCCTTTCCAGGCAAGAAATGAGATTCTCACTTTATGCCTAGGAGAGTTGCTCAAAGGGATTTGTAGGAGGAGAATTAGAGCCTTGAAGTCCGGTTCTGCTCTTTGTTTGGCTTTCCGGTGCTCTCCTGGTGGGCAGGCCCCTCTAGGATAGCACTTAGATTTGGCACTATGATATGATATCAGTAATGCCCACCTGACTATTGGCCCCTTTGTGCAATGATTCTAGTTGGCTGTGCTTTTTGAGAATTTGTGTTACTCTAGTAGTTTGTCTTCTCTCTCGCTGTCAGTGTACTTAGCTGTAGTAGCATCCTTGGCTTTCTTGCCATCCCTATCTGGGGTCTAGAAAACATATTGCCAGCAGTGTTCAAATTGTTTCTAAAATAAGAACCAGTAGGCTTAGAGGGGATGGGTGGGGTTGAGGGTTCTCTTAGGAGTAAGTTGGCTTATGACTTCTTTGCCTATTTGCATGCCAGGTTGTGTTTGCATTTTATATATCCAGCCAAGGAATAAAGTGAATGCTGGACCACCAGTTTAATCTAATCATCAGTATCCCAATAATTTTACTCATTTCTATAGACCTTTCAAAGATGCATGAGTGTGAATATAGTGTTAATATAGTAATTGAATTTCTCTCCTTTTCTTAATAAGTTAAATCAGATCTGTGATTTTTCTCAGGCTCCAATTCCTAAACAGGTCTCCTCTGCCAGGGTGGTTTGCATGTGCCCAACATTACTTCTAGCCCTGAAGGTGAAATGGTTGCCTTCTCATTAATTTGTGTGGGAACAAATCAGGAGTCTGCTATTTAGAAACCAGCTTTGAGGCCCTTACTACCTACCCATTCTTAGATGTCTTTTATGGCAAGGAAAACTAGAAGGGATGAGATTACAGGTATCTATTTGGAATGTGGTAGATTTTGAATCTAAAGAACTTGATTTAGAACATAGTTAGATCCTAATTGCAAAGCATGTGTAAATAATTTTATAAAATAAATAACTGGGGTTGATGCTCAAGAAAAGGGGGTGATTGACTAGCTGTTGAGTGCCATTCACTTTTACTGCACCTGTTGTATCAAGACACTTCATCAGCCGGACAGTACCAGAGCCACTCAGAGGGAGTGTCTGCCCACAGGGAGCTGTCATTCTAGGGTGCTGGGCTCTTTGATATGCCTTAAGGTGTGAGGACAGTATCATCTTGATGATGGACTAACTGAATGACTGCCAGAGTTGTTTTCCTTTTCCTTCCCCTCCTTCTGCAGGGTCCCTCCTAGAACTGCAAGAATTGGGGTACTCAGACTTGGTGTGGGGGATATCCCTTCATCCAGAGCATGTACAGAGCTGCATACTCTTTCCAGAATCCCTTAACAAGTTCTGCAAGTTATTTTTAGGGTGAGTGTGTGTGTGTTGTGTGTACATGCACTTGCACACTCCACATGTGGATGGAATATGTCTGACAATCATGTTCACAAGCTTCAGGCAAGGAAAAGATTCGAAGAGGTTAGGTATCTTGTCTAAGGAAACAGAGCAGGATTTTTTTTTAATTGAAGTATTGTTGATATATGATATTATATTGGTTTCAGGTGTACAACATAGTAATTTCATAATTAATACACATTACTAAATGCGCACCATAAATTAGTAACCATATGTCACTATATGAAGTCGTTACTATATATGTTGACTATATTCCCTATGCTGTACATTTCATATCTGTGACTAATTTATAATTGGAAGTTTGTCCCTCTTTATCCCTTTCACGTATTTGGCCCATCCCCCCTGGATTTGTTAATTTTAATCCAGGTCCTTTGACTTCAAATTTCATGTCTGTAGAGCATTATGAAGAACCTCCATTTTCTTATATAAAAAATTTGTGTGTACAGCTTAATATATATTACTGCTGAGAGACACAGTTAGAACTCACTTAGAATCTTGTAAACACCCCAAAACCGAGGTGACCTTTCTTCCTTGCATGTTTGTTCCTGTTCAGCCCTGTTTATTGAAGTGGCCTTTACTGTACTGATACAAAGAGCTGCTCTCTGATATCTCTTGGGAAGAGCACTAGCCACTTTATTGTGGGTGGAAAGTGTGTGTGAGCAGTCTGGCTAGCGAAGCGCACTGTATTCTCCTGGACCTGTGGCTTAGCCTGGCTGTTTTGTGAGGAAGGCTTAAACTTGAACATGCATAAGGAATCTTGTAAAATAAGGATTCTGATTCAGTAAGGCCTGAGATTCTGCATTTCTAACAAACTTCCAGGTACTGCTTGTACCACTGATACCTGGCCCACACTTGGAGTAGCAAGTGCCTATCTGTGGCTGTGGTAGTGATCTCACAGCTGCCAGGTTTGTGGTTTCAAAGCTGACTTTTGGTAAAATTGAAGACACAGGCCCAACATGGTGTCACTTCTGCTAGGCCAAGTCATCAAACCAGGGCCTAATACTTAAACCCAATTATTTTCAACCTCCCCCAGAAATGTAGTCAATCAGGAATTTTCTGGTCCACATCACTGATACGATAATCTGTCAGCTGAGCCTCTCTATCTTTCCTGAAAGAAGCTGGAGTCATCGGCATTTTAAGACCCTTGGCTCTTCTAAAAGAAAATGACCTTACAGAACCAATGCCTTCTTTTCTTTTACTAATAACTTCCACCTTCCTGTCTGTAAAAACCTTCCATTTTGTACAATTTTTCAGAGCATCTCTCTGCTTGCCAGGGAGGTTGCTGCCTAATTCATGAGTCGCTTACTTAAGCCAATTAGATCTTCAAATTTACTGGGATGAAGTTTGTTTTTTAACAGTTCACATGCTTAGCATTTAGAAACTCATTGACCAAGAAGGTGGTGCTTATTATATGCTATAAGAGATCATATATCAAGCACCTGCCGTTCCCCATGCCTGGCAGGACTTCCAGCTGTGAGGTATACCTTTTTAAATGACAATGTTCTGAAAGAATTTTTTCTTTCCTTTTTTCTGTTTCTCCTTATGGCTTCAGAAAAGTTCTTGGTGAATGCCAGGAGGCCCAAGATCTATCATTTACAAAGAAACAGAAGTGCCGGCACTTGGTGTGTAATGTCTGACAGCTGGCATTCTGCACCTTCCAGACAAGTCAGTCTTGTATAGGAAGCCTGCTGCCCTGGGAAGCAAGCACACTCAGCCTAGAAGAAATCACAGGAAGTAATTAAACAGAGAAGGTCAGAGAAAGAGGAAGTGGTTGTGTTGTTTCTGATGCGAATAGCATTGTTGTTCTTGGGGACCAAGATGATGATGTTTAAGTCTTCTGGAATGTGACTGCTTAGGGATTTGATTGTACTTAAATTGCAGCCCTTTGTGTTTATTCTTTTAGACAGCAATCTAGTTAGGAAATGAATTGCTTTTAGGTCTTATCAGGAATCCCCACGTGCCTAAGCAGAAATCTTAAGCAGGGAGTTGCTTATAGCTTGGCAAATTGCACTTAAATGAAATGAATGTCAAGACTATTAGAGGTTAATTTTAGGTGTCTGGAGTTCTCCCTAATTCTCCTGATTAAACACTTTAACATAATAGTTTCCTTAATTGGCATAATGATGGAATATTAGCATGCATATTAAACCATTTACCTAAATTTGAATAGGGTTAAAATGCAAATTACCCATCACTTGTCAGCACTTACTTCTTAGAGATAATTCCTGGTAAGAGGTTGGGGGACAGACTGGAATATGAATCAGAAAGGGGCTTTCTTCCTGAGGTTGCTAGGAAAGCCAGGAATAGATGAGAGAACTGAAGTGAAAGACCCTTTGTTCCCCTAAAAAGAAGTACAGTAAGTATGCCAACACCTGTAATTGTAATAACTCCAATGTGGAGACAGATGCAATGGGAAATCTGGAATGAGGTGGCCATAAACCCTCTCTCTGGTTGTATTTTCATTAGACTGTCATATTTTTCTTTCACAGGAAGGCAATAAAAGACTTAAGGTCCCTACCCCACACCCCAGCATTTAGATACTCCATCTGAAGTCTTGAACTGATGCCACCACCCAGCAGTTTCCAAATAAGTGATTGAAAACCCATAAGCACGGCAAGTGTTTATGAACCAAATACATAATGTCACTCATACATATCTGTTACTCTCTTGTACTGCATAGCTCCTTTACAGAATAATAAAAACACAACCTCATTAAAACACTGCAGAATTCATGGTGGATGTTTGTCATTTATCTTTCTCAACCATCAGTCATTAAAAAATACAATGCCTGGGGAGACTTAGAAAGTTGGGCATCTTTGTGACCAATTTTCTGGGTGTAAGAACATAAGTGTGGTCATTCTGTGGGAATGCACATGCAGAGGACACCTTCCCACTCCAGGGTGGATCGGTGGAAGGTCTGGGAGAAAGCAGAGGCCCATTTTAGTTGGAGGTAGTTGGGTCAGGGTGCAGGTGCGGGTGTAAAATGAGTCAGGACCTATCCTGGAGACTTGGCATAAAGTTAGGTCTTTTGATTAAAGGAGAGAAAGCTGGGGGTGTGGGGGCGAGTCTCCGTCTTCCAACTCTAGCCCTTTCTGCTCTTGCAGTCAGAATTGTGGAATACCTAGTCTGTGCAGCACACAGCTCTGTTTATTGTGAAAACAGGATACACCCAACACTAGAAGCTCCCAAGTAGCAAAGATGAGTACCTAGTTGCCATGTGTAGTGAATTCTGGGAGTCAGAAAACTTAGGTTCCCATCCCTTCTTTGCCACTAACCTGTGTGACATTAGGCAAGATGTCAGGCTTCTCTGGACTCAGCTTTCTCATCTACAATGTGTTTAGTAACATAGTAATATCCGAAGACTGTTTTGTTCCAAATATTGTGAGGAGAGTTCATGTTTTAAAATAATGACTTTTATTCTTATTTAAAATAAGCATAATCTTTTTAAAATAGAGAAAAGCACACAGAAGACCTTAAAATCTTTTGCTACATCAGTCAGAGGGGAGTTAACTTTAAACAACAAGGTAGGACTTGAGCTTTAGAGGACTCAGATGTGGATGGTTAGTGGTATTTTGTGGGGAGACGGGTGGATCAGGCAAGAAAGGACAGATTTCATGTCTAGAGGTTTCTTCCACAGACAGGGAACTCTAGGTTTATGCTGGAGTAGCTCACATAAGAGCAGGCTGAGGTGGCTGAGGCCAAATTTGGGAGACTGTTGAATGCTAGGCTATCAAAGTGGGTGTTTGGACATTTGTACTTTAGGTAGAGCGGCGGTGTTTAAGATTTTTGAAGCAAAGAGATGATGAAGTGATTTGGTGGTAAATTCAAACTAGTCAGACTAGTAAAGGGTTATGCTGGAGTCAGGGAGGCCACTAATTGTGGATGAGCTTTTCTCTCTGGCTATAATTAAATGCAGTGGGCACTGCTATAAAAAGCTTGTTCCAAAGAGGGTGTCATTATATATATTGGAAGGTGGTCAAGTGGCTGTAAAATTCAGAATGATTAGTTAATCAACTTTGTAGATCAAACATACAGCCTAGGAATAACCCCAGTGGTGGTTTTTGTTGTTTATGCTTGGTCTTAATATTATCGCTTCTGCAGGAATAGGCCCTGGTCTGCTGAAATTGCCTTTGTGAAGTGGCAAATACATTGCTCTTTCTCCATAGAGTAAAATGGTTGCAAGTTGACCATAAAAATTGTAGAACTGGAAAGGATCTTAGGAAAACACCCACTCAGCTCCCTTCTTTGACATATAAATTGCAATCTGGAGAAGTTGAGTGATTATATTGGGGTCACACAGCTGGTTGGTGGTTTGGGATATATCAGCAAGCAGATGTCCTTGGGCCTTGGTTCCAGCAGTCCTGTTGTGGGTGTTAAACATTCATGCAATTGCAACCCTTGAGTTGTTGAGCCCTCAGGAGACAGGAAAAAGATGGTGGAAACTCAGTCTAGGTAAACAGGTAAAAGTGGTCCATGCAGATTATGAGGCATCAACATTGAACAGATTGGTGGCCTTGCTCAGCCCCTGTGCAAAGTTGCAAAGATGAGCTTGCTGCACACTTCCTGTGTGGCTTGCCTGCATATGGCAGGTAGGGGTCCTGAGGTATGGCTTTCACGTGTGTCTCTGAAATGGGAGGACAGGAAGTTGAGGCAGAGGGGGCTTCCTTCAGCTGGCCATCCTAGGAGAAAGGAGATGAGCCATCTTAGATGAAAAGTTGAAATGCATGTGATTTTTCAAGGTTTTTGCACCTGGGCATCAGCAAAAAAGTTCATGAAACATACCTATGCTTGTTCTTCCCCAGCTTTAGTGCCTTCTGTTTTCTCCCCATGTGCTTGCTTTTAATGTTAACTGCCAAGGCTGTGTGGTCATAGATGGCAGGAAGTAATATGTGATACGGAGGTCTGGGGTGGGGCTAGGTGGATGCCAGTATGGGAAGGGTGGTGGTATGGGCACACCAGCCTGAGAATCCTGCACACTTCTCAGCCAAAAGGTGCTGGCACCACAAAGAGGAATTGTTGACCAGCTGGACATACAAGAGCATTTTTTTGTGGTAGCTCTTTTACTTTTTTATAAGGCTGTGCTTCACATGGTAACTCCAGATAAAGTTGGGATTCTCCTCTGTACTGAATCACGCAGCTAGTGTTTTGGCCAAGGGTATGTAGAAACCCAGGCTGGAGGAAGAATGACAATTGCCAAGTCAAGATATAGTGTCTCTTAGAGCCCAGGGTCCAGCAGACAGGCTGGGAGAACACATCCATCCCACTTTGCATGGTGAGACTTGATCCATTTCCAAGTCCTGCTCTGAAACTATACATTTCAGTCAGCACCCCCCACCTTGCAATAACAAGATTCATACTTCCTGTGTAGGAGAAGAAACTGGTATTTTTTTTTAAAAAAGCCTTCTCTTGGGCTTCTTTCCCCTCCCCTTTTGTTTCCCCTTATTAATCCCCATCAGCCAGGCATGCTTTTTACTCATAAAGGATGCCTTGTGGTCCTGAGGATTCCATTGTGAGGCTTCAGGCTCCTGGTTCCAGTGCTTCTGGATCATCCAGATGATAAGGGCCCTTTGATTATAAATGGTTTGCCTGCAGATCCCCCTTCCATGTTCAGTGTCCAGGGCACAACAGTGACCAGGAGAGTTAAACAGGTGTGGTCCACCCCCCTGTCCCCTGGCATGCAACCTGAAACAGAACCCCTTCCCCCAACTGTCCTAACAAGGACAATTTATCAATATAACAAGAGGCCCCAAGGTGGAGCCCATCTGGGGTGGTTTGGGCCACATTTGATACTTAATTTGGCAATCTCTATGTCCAGTAGAAAAAACAAATGTTGTAATGAACCACTCTGATAAGTTTTGGGGTTAGGGTTATTCATGGTCAAGGACAGAGTTGTGTAAAACCCTAACATGTTTTCCACTGACCTGTCTCACCCCTAGACCAGTTGAATTAGAATTTCACCCCCACCCACTGTGTCAGTGTGAAAATAAATCCAGGGGATTCTAATTTCCTTTAGACTAGTTGGGGTTTGGAAGAAGGGAAGACACAACCAAACCTAGAGGGTTGAATACAACCAAGAGTGTATTGACCAGGGATCCTAGTAAAAGATCCTGGTTAAACATGTAGGCTTACTGTGGTGGTAATTTTTCAGTATATTACAAATATCAAATCACTGAAGCTAATATAATGTTATGTGTCAATTAATCTCAAAAAAAAAATTGATGCCCCAGTCTGTCACAGCCATTACTTTACCCGGAGTAGTCTGACACATCAAGGTATTCAGAAGGCAGCACACATCCATAGCCATGAATGGGAATGTTCTAAAGAAGGCTGCTCCTTTCCTTCCCACCCTGTCCTCTTGGTTGCATCTCATTTAAGTTAGATAACAATCTCTTAGGAAGATGTCAAGTTGATGTTATGTGACATGGGATCGTAATAGACAACGCAAAATAAGTTCTAATTGTTGATCCAACAGGTCTTTTATTTAATAAAAATACTTCTGAAGCACATGAAAAAATTGCCTACAGCTGCCCCAAATTACAACTTTTTTATTTTTTAAAAAAGATTTGGCTGAAACTTGGAAAGCCCTATTATTAATTTTTTTCAGGAGTTTTCCTCAGTGATGTAAAAGAGGCCTTTAGGATACAAATTCAGCTATTTTAATAGTTAAAGTAGTAAATATAGAGGGGTATTTTTAATTTTGCTCCCCACCCCCCATTTTTGGTGGAGTGAGGCCAGTTTTTACAGGGAACAAGACTCGTTCTTGCAGTTGATTTTTGACAAATCTTTGTTAATGTGGAACTGGTATTTGCTAGAATTTAAAGGAAAACAGAGTTACAGAATCCTGTGCTTTTACCAGAAATGAAGATACACTAATTTAAAACAGATGTCTCTAAAAAAACTGATGCCAGGGTTTAGGATTGTAGCTTGTCTACCAGAAGTGTGGCATGTGGGGGGAAGGCTGAAAAATTGTTTAATGGAGAAAACATGAAGGGCACACTTCAAAATGGGACAGAGTCTTGCACAACAATGTGATTGTACTTAATGACACTGGACCATACACTTGAAAATGGCTACAGTGGTACATTTTGTGTTAGGTACGTTTTGCCACAATTAAAAAAAAAATACTTAAGCCACATTTGATACTTAATTTGGCAATCTCTATGTCCAGTAGAAAAAACAAATGTTGTAATGAACCACTCTGATAAGTTTTGGGGTTAGGGTTATTCATGGTCAAGGACAGAGTTGTGTAAAAGCACACAGCAACCCGGCACCCCCACCCCACCCCACCCCCATTAAAATACAGGCTCTGAAGATCTTACCAGTTCAGGGAGCTGAGAAGTATGTCCTGGTCTACCACACTGGATGTTCCTCCAGCTTTTGCTTGGACTTGAACTCTTCTGAGATAAGGAACCCATGTGCCCAGTGACTTGGATGTGCAGTTCTGATTGTCAGCAGGCTCTGTGGAACCCGTCCTCCAAAGCAGTGACAGCTGGTTCTCTTGTCCCAACCACCCTGCTGGCTGACTCCCTTTTCTGCTGGTCAAACATCAGCCCCGACTTCTTACCAGTATGCACATTCAGCCATGTCTCTCGAAAAATGTGGACCCAGAATTAAGGTGCTTTCCCAGATGCCACAGACTCTTGGACACTATGACTATTTGCCTCTCTTCATCCAGTCTAGGGTGGCTGGGGGTCACAGTCCATGTAAAGGCGCTAGGCTGTT